TACTCATGACTTATATTATGCAATAAATGCATACTGCATGGTTGGGCAATGTCTGGCACAAAAGATGGTATTAAGTGACAACATCAGGGCAGTCCTGTCTCAGAAATCCCTGCTATTTAATCAACCCCATCTTCCCCCAGGCCTTCTGCTTTCTCTCCAGTCGCCCAGTGCCCTAGTTGTACTACTAAATGGCTGTTAAATCTCCCTTCTAAACTACTCATTGCTAGGTGGCAGCTCCTACGTAACTTACATCTTTTAAAGAACACTCTCCTTTTTTTTTTTTTAAGATTGATTGATTTGAAAGTCCAAGTTAGAGAGAGAGACAGACAGACAGACAGAAGGAGAGGTCTTCCATCTGCAAGTTCACTCCCTAGATGGCTGCAATGGCCAGGGCTGAGCCAGGCTGAATCCAGGAGTAAGAAGCTTCATCCAGGTCTCCCTTGTGGATGGCAGGGGCCCAAACACTTTGGCCATCTTCTGCTGTTTTTACCAGGCCATTAGCAGGAAGCTGGATTAGAAATGGAACAGCCAGGATACAAACCGGCACCCACGTAGGATGCCAGCATCACAGACAGCAGCTTTACCCACTAGGCCACAATCCCAACCCCTAAATGATACTCTTGAAGGAGAAAAGGCAGAGACCTTCAGGGGGACACTACAGTTCTTCCACCCCATACAAGAAGTCCATGATGCTTTGGAAACCGCTGCTGAAAGTTTGCCAGTCACTGACAGAAACACTTTTGTGTCTTCTACTCTTCAAAGCTTTTCTATGAGAACTTCAAAAGTTCATGGAAAATGCATATTATGAAAAAAAAAAACTATTTGCAGGGGTCAAAATTTGTTGCACCAAAAGAAACATAAATTTTAACTCCATTTTTCCAGGAACAGTTTGAAGTACCCTCTTCTTACATTAACCATTTTAAACTCCCAGTCAACCTGGAAGGCAGAGTGTTACTGTCACCAGTTTGCCGAGTGTGATATGAAATCAGAGAGAGGTCAAGTGAGTCTCCCAAGGTCACACAGCTTGCTAGTGTCAGCCTCAGGCAGCAGCAACCCTAGGTCTGCAAGATCTCAAAATAAGTCATGTGCCGTTCCCTGGAGCCAATGCTCAAATTCCATCTCTGGACACCAGTGGCTGCGGGACACTTTCCACAAATGCCCTCCTATCTCCAATTACCTGCCTATCTCAGCCCAAATGAGTTCCAGGACATAAAGCCCAGCATTTTCAGCTGACCGTTTCTACTATATAGCAATATAATAAGGGTGCTTATGTTCTATCATATAATATTTCCCCCATAATGGCTTCAGTGGTATTATATTCGGGCCTTGGGATTGTACTAACCCTGTACTAGGAGGACACTTGCAAAATCGAATAAGGAGCCGAAAGCATGAAAGGACCTGAGAGGGACATAGGACCCTCCCAGTTGGGAAATTAAGACTTTTACGGCATTCTAGTTTGTGTGCGCTACACCTGCAACCTTTTGGTTCTTAAACCACATATTGGTAACATGGGACCATAATTATCAAAGAAAGGAAGAGATGGGCATGTGCATTGGCAATGAACTCCTCCATGGCCGTGTTTAGAAGAAGGCTGGTTGGCTCATCGTGCTGGGAAGTTTGCTGCTGTCTCACGGCAGCAAGACCTGGAGGGCCTTTTTCTCAGCTTGATTATGAGATACACACAACTGCTAACACTAAGAACACTGAGTGTTCTTCCTAGGAGTGTTTCAGACGAAACGAGCGGAGAGTTCTCAAGTCATCCTTATTATCCATCCATGCTGCTTTTCGCAACCACTCTAGTTATGCTCTGCGTTCTCAAAGGCCATCTACAGCTGCCCACTGCCTTGAGGACAGAGTTCAGATCCTCACTCTCCCCGGCAGGGTTCAAGCCTACCCTTCCAGCCTACACCTGACAGTGACACCAATGCACGGGTTTCCCATGCTTCACCAACACCCCGTGCTTGCCTGCTGCCTTGTTCGTTCATACACCTCTTCCACCTGGAATGCTCTGCCCTCATCCCTCCAACTCCCAGTGTCAAAGCCCAGCTCAAAAACTGACTTGGTTCCAAATGCAGGTGTTGATAGATGTGCCTTCTCTCTCCTTCTAAATTGCAAGGCACCACATAAAACAAATTGTTCATGGTCGAGGCCTTGTCACGTTAGGCCATCGGTGAGCCTGTCATTGTGCTAGGCCCACACCACAGCCCTGAGAGGCAGGGACGTGTCATAGGGTCTCCTTGGCAGGTCCACGCAGTGTCGGCTGGTGAACAGCACTGTCCAGAAGAGCAGCAGGAGCACTAGGCTCTTGGTAGTCTGCTCATTGCAACTTGCTCTTCTCCATCTATGACCCAGAACTGACTCCTCTTGCTGCAGCTGAATGGACCTGTCCGCCATTCGGTGCATCACTTGAAAGCCTTTCCCTTGTGAGTCACCAAGTTTTGAAACAATAACAATACAAATCTTTTTTTTTTTTTTTTTTTTTACCCAGAAGACCTAAGTCATTTTTGTGGGGTTGTGTGCTTTAGTAGTAGTTAAGGAAATCAAAGCCCAAATAAATAGACGACAGATGCCCGCCCCACAAAGAGCCTTTGCCAGCCTGGCCTCGAGCCCCAGGGCACATCCAGTGTGTGGCGATCCTGGTGAGCCACTGTGCCTGTGGCTCTTCTGCTGCCCTCCCTAACGAAATAGATCCCCACGAAGTGTGGCTGGAGATCTGACCTAGTGAAATCCCCCAAGCAGGGTCACCCAGGCCACTGAAGCATGAGTGTGCGTTTCCCAGTCGGTGTAACAGAATCTGGGGCCTGCACGGCGGGGGGGTGGCTCAGAGGCTGTCTCAGAGGCGGTCTGGTAGCCAAGGGCGCTGCTGGGTTTGAGAACAACAGCCCGAGGGTGTAAGGGGACACCATCCTGGGACACTCAGCCAGGTAATCATCTCAGGCACCCATCTTTTATTCATAAACACGGGAACAAGCCTTTCTTTGGCTGCTCACTCTGCCCTTTCAGGTTATGACAATGCCATCCATACCCAGCTTCTTCCTCTATGTCACACAAAATGCACCTGGCGTAGTTAAATCGTCTGGTCGCCATGGATGTCAATGCCAACATCGAACTGGGATGGCCAGATTAGTGTTGCTCCCCAGGTGGACCTGAGCATTTACAGTTTAAGGGCATGGCTTTTAGCAGTTCTTCAAACCCCATTAAGACTGCAAGTCCACAGAGATGTGAGACAAATAACTGTGTAATCTGAGGCAGGCATAGCCCTTGCTCCCCACTGGCTTATCGCTATTTTAATTATTCATTTTTGTTTCAGTCCTGTTGAAAAAGACTTAAAATGGTGGGATTATTTATTTGTATTTGTCTTATTTTTTAAAATTAGATTTTCTCTTTTTTAAATTCTTGTTTACTTATTTTATTTGTTTGAAGGGCAGAGAGACAAGAGATCTCCCATCTGCTGGTTCACTCCCCAAATGCCTGGGGCTAGGTCAGGCCAAAGCCAGGAGCCCAGAATTCAGTAAGCGAGTCCCACCTAATGATCTATTACATTAGCAGGAAGCTGGAATCAGAAACGGAGCCGGAACCCAAATCTAGGCAGTCTCACTGGGCTGCGTGTGTCTTAAGAGGCATCTTAGGCCGGCGCCTCGGCTCAACAGGCTAATCCTCTGCCTTGCGGCACCAGCACACTGGGTTCTAGTCCTGGTCGGGGCACCGGATTCTGTCCCGGTTGCCCCTCTTCCAGGCCAGCTCTCTGCTATGGCCCAGGAGTGCAGTGGAGGATGGCCCAAGTGCTTGGGCCCTGCACCCCATGGGAGACCAGGAGAAGCACCTGGCTCCTGCCTTCGGATAGGCGCGGTACGCTGGCCGCAGCGCACCGGCTGCGGCGGCCATTGGAGGGTGAACCAATGGCAAAAGGAAGACCTTTTTCTCTGTCTCTCTCTCTCTCACTGTCCACTCTGCCTGTCAAAAAAAAATAAAATAAAAAAAGAGGCATCTTAACCACCAAGCCATACGCCCACCTGTCCTTTATTTTTTAAATGTTAAAAACACTACAGGACATTCTTAGCCATAGTAAATCTATCAAAATTCATCACAAAGGGAGCCTAACCGTGATGAGTCCACCCTACCCAGATGAATATATTCTTTCTACAAGGTTCAAATTTCTCCTTCCTAAATAGACTGATGTGCAAAGCACTTACCAGAAATGTTTACAAAAGACCTCTGGGTAAAGACTGCATTGTACTCATTCTGCCCTGGGTTCTAGCTCATTCTTTGACACTGAGCGTAGCAGGCCTAAGTCAGACTGAATAAGAATAAAGTATCTGGAGTCCAACTTCTGGGTTATGCCCTCACTGGCTGCTTAGACCCAATAGATCTCTCTGGACCTCAGCTCCCTCATTTGTAAAGTGTGACCACTAATGATGATAACAACCCCTGCGAATATTGTCAACTTCACACATAATATTTATAAGTAAATGAAAGCTGAATGTTGTTTGCACTCTCTTGAATTTAGCCATGAGCCATCGTTTCAAGGAGTGAATGGGTTCTGGGAAACATGAATTTAGCTCAACTATTCTAAGGGTGAAGGAACACATACCATATATATGCATATATATATATATATATATATATTTCTTAATATCCAAATCTTCACATCAGTGATTCTCAAGACCTTAAAGTCAAAGCTATGTTCAAAATAACACTGAGAGGTTATTTGCCTTTTCTGGGTGCATTCTCTCAGGAGCGTACAGTGCAGTTCTCCAGAGGCTACAGATGTGTGAGGTCATTGTCTAGCAGTTGATGAATGCGTGCTCGTTTACTCCTGTGTGTTTTACATTCCTCAGCTACAATGTCAAATACAGCAAATCACCAGTCGCTTCGGAGGTACTCAGTAACTTTTTAAGAGTTTAAAAAAGGTCTTGGGGCTGCGAAGTGTGGGAAATTGTGCTAGACTGCCCCGACCACGCCCTGAGGCTACCCTGCCTGCGTCCCTTTGTGTGTTTCAGGCTGTCCGAGTCCCACTTTCCTGGCGAGGAGTGGCTGTGGGACTTCGAGAAGCATGGCCACCGGCGCTCGGTGATCAGACGGGTCAAGCGGTTCCTGAGCACCCACGAACACCCCTCCAGCCCCAAGAGGAGGAGCTACAGGAGGCAGGCCAGCGACAGCTCCATGTTCCTGCCCCCCAGCCCAGCCCGAGATCTGCTGGATGTGCCTCCCAGAAGCTCCCCCAGAGCCTCAGCCCCCCAGAAGCCATCGCATTCCCCAGAGGGCAGCCCCCCCACGCTGCACTCCAGCGTGGGAGAACTGCCCACCATCAGGGAGACCAGCCAGACCAGCACCTTGCCGAGCCTGACCCCGCAGTCCAGTGTGAGAGCCTCCCCCACCAAGATGCCCCAGGTCCCGGAGGTGCTGATCACAGCAGCTGAAGCTCCGGTGCCTCCAGCAGAGGGCGACCCCCACGACTCCACTACCTCCATCTTGAGCCTGGAGTTTACCGGCGTTCAGCCGAGCAGGACGGGGCAGCAGGAGGACCCGGGGGGTCGGATACAGCCCCCTTCAGATCTCCGTCCCCAGGCTGCTGAGAGAAACACTCTCAAGCTTGAGCAAGACCCTGATGGCGCCAAGATCCTGAAAAGGTGGAGCCTCCCAGAGTTCCGGGAGCGCAGCCACACCTCCCCGGGAAACCGAAGTCCGCAACCTGAGAACCTGCAGCCACCTCTTTTACTTGACACAGAACTATCCTCCGAGATCCGTGGAGCCAACACTGGGACTGGCTCTTGGGTCTCTCCTGATATGAGGTATTTAATGGAAAACCTGGACACCCAGGAAACGGATATCATAGAGTTCAACGATGAGCAAGCGGAGGAATCAGCCAGAGCGGTGCCACAAAGTTCTCGGACCTGGTTCTAGCGTAGATTCCTAATTTACCGGAAGTCCAGCGTCAGCCTTGGAATGCACCCGGGGCTGGGCAGTTTTCTGAAAAGTAACCATATGTATAAGCTACTCAGAACTGTGAAGGGCATTATCATCCCGGCGTTTTGAAAACTGTGAAAAGCAAACACATTTAAGTCATCCATCACAAGTGGCCTTGGTTATACTGACCACAGTGACTTGTCTTAGCCAAATAAGGAATCATACATGTGTGTGTGTGACTTACAAATTCGTATCTCATTAGTTTGGGAAAGGGCCTGATAGTCCAATCCTGAGACACAAAGAACTCTGCTGCTTCTTTCTCTCTCTCTCTCTCTCTTTTTTTTTTTTTTTTTTTTTTTTTTTTTTTTTTTGACAGGCAGAGTGGACAGTGAGAGAGAGACAGAGAGAAAGGTCTTCCTTTTGCCGTTGGTTCACCCTCCAATGGCCGGCGCACCGCGCCGATCCGATGGCAGGAGCCAGGTGCTTCTCCTGGTCTCCCATGGGGTGCAGGGCCCAAGGACTTGGGCCATCCTCCACTGCACTCCCGGGCCATGGCAGAGAGCTGGCCTGGAAGAGGGGCAACCGGGACAGAACCCAGTGCCCCAACCGGGACTAGAACCCGGTGTGCCGGCGCCGCTAGGTGGAGGATTAGCCTAGTGAGCCGCGGCGCCGGCCTCTTCTTTTCTTAACTATGAAGACAGGCACCAGATCACATAGTGCCCCCCAGACTCCTTTTTGATTATGATTCTCTGAAGCTTGCTAACCAGCTCGTTCCTGCCCTGGGGAACTATCACAGTGATCCTGTCCCAATTCTTCAGCCTCATCAGCATCAGAAAATTTCATTTCTCTTCCACTGCCTTTCCTCTGGCTCTCTTCCTCCTTTATTCTCTCATCCTTTTTTCTTCCCTTCTCTAGTCTTGCTCCTCTAGTAACTCTATTCTGTCCCACTGTTCAGCTTGTAATATTTTCTCTTGCTTACTCTGTTGCTAATTTCTTACCATTGTGTTCAGAATGGGAGGTACTGGCAAATCCTCCTACATAATAATCAAAGATTACCACACATCCAGCCCGAAACCCTTCCAGTCTCACAGTGGGAGGGTGGGAGAGTTGGTGGTCTCCTACCACTCCCTCAGCAGCCTTTGCCATTTTAACAAAAAGATTTATTTATTTGAAAGACAGTCATAGGGCGAGAGCTCTTCCATCTGCTTATTCAACCCCCAAATGGCCACAACAGCCAGAGTGAAAGCCAACAGCATGGAGGTTGATCTGGGTTTCCCACATGGATAGCAGGGTCCCAAAGCACTGGGCCATCTTCCACTGCTTTCCCCGGTGTAGAGAGCTGGATCGAAAGTGGAGCACCCAAGGCCTTGAACTGGAGCCTATACGGGATGCCGGCATCACCGGCAATGGCTGAATCTGCCGTACCACAACACCGGTCCCTGCCTTTTCCATTTCTTCTCCTCTTTGTTCTTGGACACTGGAGAAAACTGAAGCCAAGAGGATAAAAAACTTGCATCAGCAAATGCAATGGAATCAAAGACTAGCATGGCTTGGATCTGGTTAAAGCAAAGGCTTTAGCAAAATTCCCAATTCTGCCACAACATGGGACCAGTTATTATGTCCTTTGGGTTGCTTGGAACCAGGCAGTACAATGGGGTCGGGGTCTACCTAATGGGAGTCAGATGCTAATTAACTCCGCAGGGAGCACTCACGGTGGCTATTTGTTGAGGGCCCAACTCTGGAAGGCCTTGCAGCTTTCACCACTTGTCTTAGGATGAAGCTGAACTACGCATGACTGATGAAATAAAGCAGCCTTAAAAAAAAGGAATCAAGTAGCCCTTGTAGCTACCAGTTCACAGTGTTCCAGGCAGCGGCGTGTGAAGTTCACAGATGATCCCGCTAATTCTTAGGGGAATCCGCTGAGATGGGTAGATGAACACGATGATCTTCATTTTTAAAGATGAAGAAAGCCAAGGCTTTGGAGAACTAATTTGCCCTAAATCACGTAGCCAGCAAGTGGCAGAATTCAGATTCAAACCCAGGTTCATCGACAGAGACCACACTCAGCCACTGTGCTGTGCTGTCTGTAAGGCCCCGGATGTCATAGCAAATTGCCCAGAATTCTGAAGCATGCCCCCAGGGAGCCACGCCCAAGTCACAAATTCATACCAAAGCTCTTCCTGGGTCCCCCTTGCTTCAGTCTGCTTGCGTCTTCCATGCACTCCTAGAGGAGGGTATTGCTCCAACTTGAGCCCCAGCCATGGTCCTCCTTATTTTTCATGCCAAAAGTTGGCAGAACCTTCCCTCTCCTCCCCAGCTCCTCCAGATTGGCAGTGTTCTCCGTAGTGCATCTTCGCCAGACCTTGAATCTCACTGGGCTCCTGGAGCTGCACCACAGCAATGACATTTACTTTAACTGGCTTTCCTCAGAGGACTGAAAGGAAGCAATAGGAGAGAAGCGATGTCCATTGGTGGTTCTGTGTGTTGGTTAATAATGTTAGAACCTGGCAAAGTACTGAAATTCCCAAAGCACTACGTACAGACAATGGGGTCAAGTACCAATAAACCACTGTAAAAGGCAATAGCCTTCACTTCTCCCAGTTACCAGCCTCTTAATGCCATTTCTTGGGTATTTCAACTTAAAGTCCCCACATTCTCTTCTCTTTGGTCCTATTTATTGCTCAACTTCAAGTGACTTTCTCCTTAGCTACTTTTGAAGCATAATCAATTTTTGCTCATAAAGTGACAAATTATTCACAGACTAATACATTTTGTGTAGAGCTAGAAGGTGGCTCATTCGTCTCTGCTTCCATCCATTCCTTATGCATCTTTATTCCCCAAGAATTATTTAATTTCCTCAATTTTTCTTCACAACCTGAGCTGGCCTCCCATTTTCTTCTTGCAGTGAAAATTGAATTATGACCTGTTCAATGAGCCCATGTGGTTGAATTCAGTAATAAATTCAAGTCAGAATTGCCCAGAGCAGATGAAAAAATTCTCTGTTTGTTCTGAAAGAAGTTTTCACCCAACACAAAGTTGTAAAAATAAAATAATTTATTTTCATTGCCTGCCTAGTCCATTTTCTCCTGAACTCTGGGAACTTCCACACCTGAAGGAATGGTCCCATGGCCTAGCTGGTGCTTTAGGCTTCGGCCATTTCAAGAAGAGGCTCGAATTTTCTCTGCATTAAATGTAATTCACAAGCCAGCATGGCCAAGCCCTATTTGTGGCATCACACCCTACTCTCCTACAATTCAGGAAGACAGAGGCCCACTTCCTGTTCCTCTGTTGTCCAAGAATTTGGACAACTGGCCAAGTCTATCTCCTGGCAAGATAAAGAAGGCTGTTGTCTCCCATTCTATTATTGCTCAGCATGCAAGAAGCTTTGAAAAGTTAGTCAAGTCCCCATCCTTCTGAGTTTCATATTCTCATCTGTAAAATGGGCTCTTCTCTGGACGCTTTCAGTGGGACAGGGTGAAGCTGGAAACCATGGGCAGAGTTGTGGGGATGAGAGGCCGGACTGGATATCTGCTGCTCCTGTGAATTCACCATGAATTTCAGAAAAAGCCTCTCTGTCCCCCTTTAGTCACCCGTGTGTCAGGCTCCCCTGTCCTCTGGGATTCTAGTCTTACTCAGCAAGCTTTCTTCTAACACTCACAGCATTATTACTGACCTTGGCTGTCTCTTTTGTCTCCTTTGTTCCTTCAGAAGCTTCTCACCCCTTGCACACCATCAGCCCTGCCTCATCACCATGGCAGAGTACCCGCCCCACCCCATCGTGTGTGTGTGTGTGGGCCCCTCAGGGACAACACAGAACTAGAGAGAAGGCAATGCTGCTGTTCTTTCCACTATAAACTGCGAGGATATAAGAACCCCTGGTTCAAAGTTAGAAGACCTTCCTTTGCGGCATCTCATCTCCCTGGATGTGGTCCCAGATCAGTTAATTAGGAATAACAACCGCCAACGGTGGGAACTCCTAAGCAGAGGCAAACTAGGACCTATGCCCTTCTGCCCTTCCCTCATCACGGTCATCTACGCCCTCGGCAGCAAACATTTGCTGCTACACTGGGCTGCTGACAAAAATAGCCACGGCTTTCCTCATTACGTCATATAAAACCATCCCACGTGGATCCTCAGTCCTTCTGCTTGCTTTTCATTGTCTTTGGTTCTATGAACACTTATCTTCAGGACAGTTTTTTCCCACTGATAGGGTTCTTGGGTTGACAGAACCAAATCAAGACATCAGGATTGATCTCTGGCTTCCGATCTTTAAAAACCCAGACTCCCAACCCGTGGGCAAATCTTGGGAGGCATGACCCCAGTCAACATTTACCTCTCTCCAAACTTCCTCTTTAGCACCTCCACATGAGCAGTTTCTGTTTCCCTGTCCTGGTAAACAGGAAACAAAGGCAATTGCCCTGTAAAGTAGGGAACTGAAAACTACACCTGTCCACATACTCAACTAACCTGGACTGGAGATGAAGTGTTTGTGGTTTATGTCTGAATTAAAAGAGGCCCAAATCTTCCTTTTGCCTCGGGTAGATTTGGCCAGCTGGTCACCTGGAACCCTCTTCCCCAAGCTTCTAATTTTAGACATTTGCCTAACAGAGGCCGCAGAGGGAGTGTTCTCTTCATCCTGATAACAAACAAGAACATTTCTAAAATAGGTCTTGTATGGGATTGCAGGTGTGTCCAGGGTCTTTGTGCAGGTCAGTGGTTCTCAAGCAGAGGCGATTTTGTGCGGTCAGTCACCTGGCAATATCTGGAGACATTTTTGGTGGCCACCCTGGGGAGTGTTCCTGGCATCCAGTGGCAAGAGGCCAAGAATGCTGCTGAACCTCCAAAGCCTGCAGCTTCCCAGCCCAAAATACCAAGGTTGAAAAACTTGATTTAGGCCAAGGGGAAGGTAAAAATGGGACAACCATCAAAAAGATTAATAGTGGAAGATGAGCTACAGAACTAGAACAAGAAGAGAACAGACGACAGTCAGCAACTGGCTAAATTCTTATTTTGTGTACATGCCATGAAATAATCACCATTTCTCCCTTGAGGCTAAAGAATATGAAATCTCTGATCCAGAAACACTGGATTTGAACCCTGAGTTTACTCTTAGGGAATTCCTTGGATGGCTCTTACCAATAAGAGCAGTTAAATGTCATTGCTGGCATGGCCAGTTTCCTGAAATTGTAGCTTAAAGGGTGACAAGATATAACCTACCAAATAATATTTAATAACTTGTGGGCCAGCGCCATGGCTCACTAGGCTAATCCTCCGCCTTGCGGCGCCGGTACACTGGGTTCTAGTCCCGGTCAGGGTGCCCAATTCTGTCCCGGTTGCCCCTCTTCCAGGCCAGCTCTCTGCTGTGGCCAGGGAGTGCAGTGGAGTATGGCCCAAGTACTTGGGCCCTGCACCCCATGGGAGACCAGGAGAAGCACCTGGCTCCTGCCATCGGATCAGCGCGGTGCGCTGGCCGCAGCGGCCATTGGAGGGTGAACCAACGGAAAAGGAAGACCTTTCTCTCTGTCTGTCTCTCTCACTGTCCACTCTGCCTGTCAAAAAATAAATAAATAAAAATAAAAAAATAAAAAAACTTGTGATGATAAACTGCAAAACTATGGATAGAAAACCAAACTTCAGCTTTTATATATGTCTTACATAGGACCAAACAAGTATACTGTATCTTCTAGACAGGTAATTTAGCACTTTGTTTTTCAAATCAAAGTATTTTTTCAGTAGAAAATAGTTGCAGTGCATGGAATCAGGTTACCTCCTTCCCACAGGCCAAGGAAACTTATGGATTCCCTTGCTTCATGGATCCCCCAGCACTTCCAGGACTATCTTTGCTTTTTTTCTTTCTTATAATTTTATTTATTTATTTGAGAGAGTAGGAGAGAAAGCACCCATCTGGAGCTGGGCTGAAGCTAGAAATTGGGAACTCAATTGAAGGCTACCACGAGGGTGGCAGAAACACAATTATTTGAGCCATCACTATTGCCTCCAACCCACTGGCAGAAAACTGAGTCAGAAATTGAACCCAGGCACTCCAGTGTGGAAAGCAGGCATCTTATAAGACCACTAGGCTAAATGTCTGCTGTACTCTCTTTTTTTCCTTTTACCCCAATTCTGCACCCCACAACTATTTTAGTTTGATGTGAAACCCTTTGTGTGTATGCATTCTTTTTTTTTTTTTTTTTTTTTTTTTGACAGGTAGAGTTACAGACAGTGAGAGAGAGAGACAGAGAGAAAGGTCTTCCTTCCATTGGTTCACTCCCCAAATGGCTGCCACGGCCAGCGCGCTGCGCCAATCCAAAGCCAGGAACCAGGTGCTTCCTCCTGGTCTTCCATGCAGGTGCAGGGCCCAAGAACTTGGGCCATCCTCCACTGCACTCCCGGGCCACAGCAGAGAGCTGGACTGGAAGAGGAGTAACCTGGACTAGAACCCGGCGCCCATATGGGATGCCAGCGCCGCAGGCGGAGGATTAACCAAGTGAGCCGTGGCGCCGGCCCCTTGTGTATGCATTCTTACAAAACATGTGTTTAGGTATTAGGTGCAATTGTTTTTGAATTATAGGTTTCATCTGTTGCTTTTTCATATGCTGCTGTTTTTTGAGATCCTCCCATCTCCCCTTGTGTCCATCTAATCCATTGCTTCTAACTGCTGCGAGCTCTGAGATGTCTTGTATTTTACTTACCCACCTTTGTCCACACTAAGCATCCTTTTGTGGAGTGCAGACCCACAAGCAGGTTGGCCCCCCTGCAAAGCAGGCAAGCGTCCTTGCATTGTTATTACCCCCTCCCCCACCTCAAGCCTGGCATCAACTCCAGGCTCCTACTGGGAAAGTGACACCTGCTTGTTATTTAACTGGTGTTTATCAGATTTCCAATGCTCTTTTCACATGCTTGTTAACTGTTTTGAGATTTTTCTTCCAAAAAAAATTACCTTTGCAAAATCTTTACTCTTCTAAATAAGGGTTTCTTTTTTTTTTCTTGTTGATTTTCGGGAATCCCTTCTATATGCTAGAACAATGGTAGACCCTTGTTGGTTTCAGACATTGCAAGTCCTGTCCAATCCTTTGTGTGTTTGTTAAAACTCTCCATGGTGTTGCTTGATGAGTAGAAATCCTTAATCTGATATAATCCAGTTCCTCAAATTTTTTGTTTCATGCTTTTGAGGTTGCAGGTAAGAAATCCTCATCATCCCTATCTCTCAATCGTCTCTCACAATTTCTTGCCCTCATACAATTACAGTGTTTAGGCTAACATTTGTTTTCTTTTTCTCCATGAAGGAGCCACTTCTTCCCCCAACACCTCTTATGAAATGGTCAAGTTGTAAGTTCTACACATATCATACCATTCAGACACATTGGCTTGAAACCAAAGAGCACCTGAGAGAAGCACAGGTAGGATGGTATGAATAGGAAGAAAAAGAAAGATGAGCCTTAGTCTCATAAACTTTAGCTCCCCCTCTTCCCCAACAAAATACAAGCCTTCCCTGAAACCTATCCCCCCTGCTGTATGCTGACTACTGACTTTTCCCCCTTCCAGGCCTGGGGTGTGAAATTCTTTAACACTTATCTGCGCAAGAGCCCCCTAAAAACAGGCCATCTCTTTTTATCAGCCTGAGACTAACTGCAAGACTAAAGCCTGGTACTTAAGGAAGAAGAAACAGAGATGGTGTTTCAAGCAGAGTCCAGGTTCCTTGGCCAAGGCAGGATTGAAATCCAAAGAGATGGGGACCACACTCAAACTATATTTAGGCCTCAGGATCAGTGAAGGTGGAGGGGTTACACCATGGGAACAGCAAAGCTTGTTCTTACCAGCTGAGCTCTGCCCCGGCCTCTGGGCTTTCCCACAGTCAGGCTTTGCCCTCCTCAAGGAGGCGTGAAAATTGGGTGTTTACTGGCACCCGTGGCACTGTCTCTATAAATCAGTAGCCATGTTTGGGACAGTTACAGGTGGTCTCCGAAGAGAACTAACCTCATCTTGTCTTCATTCCCCAAGACACAAGACCTTCAGAAAGGGGTAGCATCCTTGATATTAATGCCAACTCACAGGGGCTGGTGCCATGGCTCATTTGGCTAATCCTCTGCCTGTGGCTCCA